CTGCTGCAACGTTTGGATGGTAGAGTCAGAATTTGGCGTCAACAACATGAAAGTGGTGGTGGTGGTGGTGTAATTGGGGATATATTCTTGGCACACTTTGGGTCTATTAGTACTGGTTGAGCATGGTGTCAATGCCACAGCCAACCTGAGTCTTGTTGCTGACTATGTCCATCCCTTTATGACCACAGTGTACCCAACTTTCTGATGGCTACTTCCAGCAGGATAGCACGTCATATCATAAAGTGCGAATCATCTTAGACTGTTTTTTTTGTACATGCCAATGAGTTTACTGTCCTCAATTGGTCTCCACAGTCACCAGGGGCCTCATGTATCAACACTGGCGTACGCACAAAAACTTTGCGTACGCCAGGTTTCACGCTCAGAATCGCTCACGTTTGGATTTACTAACAATCACCTGAACGTGGGAATGTGTGCAGCTTCACGGCAGCTTTCTGGCTGGCGTACGTACATTTTTTGTGCGTGTCTGTTTTATTTCCAGTGGCGACTCCCAGAGGCAGTTGTGTTAAATTGCTCTCTACAAAGTGTCTAAGCCGTGTAATGGCAGCTGTATGAGACGGGTTCATCTAGCAGGTATATAAGGTTTTCATACCATACAGTTGACCAGCCAAACATTAAAGCACAATTTGCAGCGGTCGCCTGTTTTCCCAATGTAATCTGAGCGATCTACTGCAAACACATTGCTATAAAGACTCTATCTGAAGATGAATTCGCATGCGTGAATCAAAAACATTTCCATTCAATAAATGTGCAAATAAAATATGATGCACAAACTTATTAATGATTCCTACTTGTCTTTCTCATGATAAATAGTAGTCAAAATCTGATATGTAGCTGGGAAAAAAAGAAGAAAGAGTTCATCAGACGCTGGATTCGAACCGAGTTCATGCTCAACGTGTCAAAACATGTAGAGATGCGTCTTACGAGCTGTGCCATCGAGACTGTTAGGAGTACTGCAACATTTTACACCTATAAATCACACTATTTCTTTTTTTAATTCACTCAGTGCGATGTTCAGACCCAACTGTGTTAACCGCATCAGCTAAACTCTCCCACTCTATTTTTTTCTTTTGTTGTTAATTCCGGAGAACAAACTTGCAAATGACACCACTTTTCTCCGGTCTACCTCCGAAAGCAGCACCTCCAATTCACATTCTGTTAAAAAGTTTCTCTTCTTGCTTGCTTTTGCCGTTGCTTTTTCGTTGGGTTTTGCCAAAGTAGAGTCATTAGCATATTCAAACAGGGGAGGAGGCAGGGAGGGGTTTTGTGCTCGTGCATGTTGCGCTCAATTTCACGTTCATTCGGATGTACAAAAGAATATTCGGAGATTCGGCGTACGCAGCGTTTCATACATCTGAGTTTTTTTACTGCGTACGCAGATTCACAGCTTTGGGCGTACGCAATGTTTTAGTATGATTTCCACGCAAGTCTTCATACATGAGGCCCCAGATCTTAATTTATTAGAGCACCTTTGGGAAGTGGTCGAACAGGAGATTCGCATTATGTATTTGCAGCTGACAAATCTGCAGCAAATGCATGATGCTATCATGTCAATATGGACCAATATCTCAGAGGAAAATATCCAGTTCCTTGTTAAATCTATGCCTCGACGGATTAAGGCAGTTCTAAAGGCAAAGGGGGGTGGGGGTACTAGTAAGGTGTACCTAATATAGTGGCCTGTGAGTGTATATTGCAAAACTGCAAGTTAATTATGTTTATATACTCTCCACCCTACACACACCTTAACTTCTGATTTTGCACCATTTTAAAAGGTGATTTGGAACAATAATGATTGCAAAAAGTGCTATTGACCTTATTCTAAAATGCGGAAGTGTGCCTGTATTCGCGATTGTCTTAGAACTTCCGATTCAGTCGCCTATGGGAGAAATGACTAGGAATAATAAACGGTAGAAAATGGCCAAACTACTTGCTCAACAAACAAATGTTTGCATGACTACACAGACCAAGTAGCATATTATAATAAGAAAATATTAAATTGCAACATCAAGCAGCGTAACGAGCAGTTGTTAACGTCAAAAAATGAATGGAAGTGAATGTGACCGGAAGTCGCGAGACAAAAAGATTCAAATGGCAGCGCCCGCTCGTCAGCTGAGAATAAGGTGAATACAAATGAACTTGAACTGAACAGAACTTTATCTTTAAGCAACAAAAACAGTTCAACTAAGAAAGCAGTATTTGAGGAAAAATATTCTCCAAAAAACACATTATAAACAGCTCTGGAAAAGATGAAAGAACATAAGCCTGTTAGCATGACACCTGTAAAATGACTGAAGAGCAGAACTATGCAGCACCACACACTGAATTCCCCCAAGAAGATCATAAAACGACTATCTAGCCAGCAATCTACTCAATGCAAACACAAGAAAAACTGGCTGGCTATCCATGACAAGGAACAGTTTTGCTGAGGCAGCTGCTTCTGGGAATAGGTCTATATCTTATGCTAATAAACTCAACGTTGAGCTACAGATTGAGGAAGCCACTGTTTGTGAGTATGAATTATGAATTAGTGAAAAGAAAATAGGTCTGAGGCCACGCCCACTTGCCTTGACATCATCCACACATTGAACGAGCATTTGCATTGTGTCACCGGGGCAACAGTGTCACCGAGCTGCTGTGACGCCTGAGCCGCCACTTCCTGAATCAAAGTGCAGTGTGAAGTAATCAAAGCACCCAGCCACTGCGCGAGCAGACAAATGTTTCACCACTAAATTACCACTAGACTTGCCTCAATATGGAATCTTGATTTAAAAAAAGGCTAAAAAAAGAGTGAGTGGAACTACTGCCAAATGAAACAGTCAAAAGCAATTATCTAAACTCTAGCAGAGAAAAATATATACAGATATAGCATAACATACTATAATATAAAACATAACATAGTATATTATATTATAACATACATTACAATATACAATGACAAAATATACTAGAATAGAATAGAATAGAATAGAATACCAAATAAAAGTCTTGTCACCTATCCAAGTTTTAGAAACAACAAATAAAAACTTGAATTCTAGTTGATCATTTGGTATTAGAAGAGGCTTATATGAAAATCTAAGGCCTCTAAATTTTCATTCATTCATTTTCTTGTCAGCTTAGTCCCTTTATTAATCCGGGGTCACCACAGCAGAATGAACCGCCAACTTATCCAGCAAGTTTTTACGCAGCGGATGCCCTTCCAGCCGCAACACATCTCTGGGAAACATCCACACACACTATGGACAATTTAGCCTACCCAGTTCACCTGTACCGCATGTCTTTGGACCGGAGCACCCGGAGGAAACCCACGCGAACACAGGGTGAACATGCAAACTCCACACAGAAATGCCAACTGAGCCGAGGTTGCCTCTAAATTTTTTTTTTACCAAAATAAAATATGATCATGACTTGATTTTTAAAGTAAGGTCTGACTTTAAGACAAAAGTCTTGTCACTTAACAGAAATGATGTACAGTATAGAATATTAAGTTATGGTGCAGTGGAAAAAGAATGAATATTGTGTATGACTCCCATGAGCTTGGAGGACTGCATCCATACATCTCTGCAATGACTCAAATAACTTATTAATAAAGTCATCTGGAATGACAAAGAAAGCGTTCTTGCAGGACTTCCAGAGTTTATGTCTGGTGACTGGGCAGGCCAATCCTGGAGCAATCCTTGATCTACTTTGCTTTTAAGAACTTTGATGTAGAGGCTAAATTATGAGCAACGCTATCCTGCTGGAGAATTTGCCCTCTCTTGTGGTTTGTAATGTAAACGGAAGCAAAAATGTCTTGATACCTCAGGCTGTTGATGTTGCCATCCACTCTGCAGATCTCTCGCACTCTCCCATACTGAATGCAACCCCAAACCATGATTTTACCATCACCAAACTTGACTGATTTCTGTGAGAATCTTGGGTCTATGCTAGTTTCAATAGGTCTTCTGCAATATTTGTGATGATTGATATGCAGTTCAACAGATGTATCAGCATAAAAATCTACCTTCTGCCACTTTTCCAAATGATCAACTAGAAGTTAAGTTATTATTTGTTGCTCTTACAACTGGGATCGACGACAAGACTTTTGTCAGGTAGTGTATAATATAATCAAAAAAACTTCCAAAAACTCTAGTCTCTTTTGCTCAATGGTGAATTTCTTGTTTGAGATTATGGTAAAAACAATAACTTTGTAATGTATTACAATAAAAAAAACTCTCTACATTATTCTTGCTTATTATTATTGGTTTTAAGACAACTTGATTTTTAAAAAAGATTGGCAGACTCTTTACATTTTAAAGCAGATAACTGATTTAACAGGACAACCTATACAAAACTTGATATAAATGTATGACCCTGAGGAAAAAAAAAACTAAACTAAAACTACTACAGCGGAAAGCTTATTTTATTTGTTACTCAGCTAAAGAAACCATCGAAACTCACAAAAAAAAAAACACCAAGATATTTCTTTCCACAAAATCACTTACAAATTGCACTTTTGAAGTCCTATACACAAGTGAAGACCACCGGAGAATTTTATTGTCAGAGGAACTAAATATATTATCCATGATCTGATCATCCCTGACAAATCTCTGGTGGGCTGAAATTTTAACAAGTATGTAGATTTCCATTCTGGTTTTAAATAAACCCTTTAGCTCAGTAGTAAAATGAACCGTTCTGTAAGATCAAAACTGAAGCTGTGACTCAACATGTCAGAATCTCCAGAGGGGAAAAAAATTCTCAATCCAATACAAAGGGAACATCCTCAGAAAACCTGCCAGCTTCAAAGCAAGAAAAATAAAGGTAAAATCCCCGTCACAAAGCCTGAGCGTAATATAAACACAGCACAATGCACCTGGGGAAGATGAAGGCAAAAGGTAGAGGAGATACAAGGAGCGGACACGCTGACTGAATGGAAAAAATGTCATGTAAACGAGTATTCATTCAGGTAAACAAAGGCGATAAAGACAGGGATATTATAATCTTACCTGCACTGCCTAATGTTTTATAGAACCGGTACTCCAAATGTAGTTGTGGGGCCCTCGATTTCACAGGTTCCTTTAGGAGGACCAAAAAAAATTTATTAAAACTCTTACTATTTCACATTAGTTCACAACATACATTCAGGAAAATGACTTCCACACATTAAAGGGACATATTCAAGCAACACTTTAAACATCTGACTCAAGGTCTATGAAAATGTTGGAATGATGACACCTAAATATTAAAGGGGACTTATTGTGCTAAAATCCCTTTCATAAAGAGTTTAAACCAAGTTGTGTGGCAACAGAGTATGAATATAGCAAGCCTCTACTGGTAAAGTATTAATTATTTTCACACTTATGCTGTTCACACCAGACACGACACGCATGAAAAGTTTACTCACACATCAAATTCACTTCACAATAGATGTTGATTTGTGTCATTTGCAGGGCTTCTGTCTGCCCAGTGATTCAAGCTTTGCTGCTAAATGGCTAATACAGGGCTCAACAATAAGGACTGCCAGGTGGCCCAGGGCCAGCGTGAGAGACACTTGGGACTATGGGTGTAACGATACACAAAAGGCACGGTTCGGTTCGGTTCACGGTTTTGGAGCCACGGTTCGGTTCGGTACGGTTCGGTTTCTGTTTGCTGTGGGGTTAGGGTTGATGTCATGTTAACAGCAATGCTAAGGGACAATTCACTTAATAACAAGAACATCTTAACTTTTTCTTTATTAACTTTGTCATCGCATTTTTAGTACAGTCAGGATACCCGAGTAAACAACTAGAATTAGGCTAAATAAATACCTCCAATATAGACTAGTCAGAAAAAAAAAACTATTCTCTGTAGTGCAGCCATCTTAACCAAGTAAACTAAAATTAAATAAATAACTGCAGTGTAGACTAGTGAAAGATCTTCTTCAAAAACACCATAATATCCACATTCTCCGATGAGAGGCTTGATCTCTGTGCAGACACAGACGCTCATTTTTGATTATATGGTTTCATTTAGATAGATAGGTTTCTGTTTAAATTAATAAAAAAATATACATATAATGTGTTTGTAAAGTGTTTTTTCATGACATATTCACCAGTAAAATACATTGCGGTTGTGTCTGAAACTAATGTTAGGGTTGTAGCCGGCTGTGTTTGCCTCCCGATCTCTCTCTCTCTCTCTCCCGCTCCCTCTATGCCGGTCATTTATGCACTGTAGGTCCGCCTTCACGACAGCTGCTGCCTGTCATTTCTGTAGGTCCGCCTTTTTGACAGCTGATTGGTCAGGAGACCGATCTATCATCATTTGGCGACGCAGCACGCGAATGTAAAATGCATGTCAGGAAGAGCGGGAGAGAGAGCACTTTTTCCTTTGATCTCGTTTTTCGTGTATTTTTCTGACATGATTATGATTTTCGTTGTTTTTGCTTAACTTTCGTTTGGGTAAAATTATTTTGCATTACTTTTGCCCACTTTAAGAAATTTTGTGAGGTTTGTACATTTTTATTTCAATTGATTTGTATATTATCCGCTCCTTCCCGACAATATAGCTGTATCTCCTCAAGTTCACTCTTAGTGTAAGGTGGATAGGGAAAATGTCATACGATTTCCATTTTGCAAACACGTAGAAAATGTATTGTTAAAGACATCAGGTAAGAGGTGAAGGTCATCTTTGTTTATTTTATTCAGTATAGGGAAGAATGCGGCGCACGGCGCTGAAGACCTTTTTTTTCTTTTCATCAGTTTTAGTGAGGTAAGAGGGGTTATTCATGAGTTAGAATTGTTTTATTATATTTATTTCTTTTGTTTGTCTTCACTATCACCCCTTGCTCGAGTTTAACTAATTTTTGTTTGATACTTTTGTTTGAATTTGTTACTTTATTATATTATTTTTATTAGTGTAAATATTTCTCTTTTTTTGTATATTTGGACATTATTCTGGTTTTACTTTTGTACATTAAATCACTCTTGTTGGCAGTTCTGTTGCTTACACCCTCACATTGTGAAATTACCACACTTTTTAAATGTTTTTCCTTACAAGTAAGTTTCGTGAAACTTGAGACAGACAGGCGTGCGCTTTGTCTACGACACGAATTCTATTCCTGTACTCCACTGGAAAACCAAAATGTTTCCATACAGATGACTTAAATGTGTCTGGGGGATCTGCAATCTCAGTACTATGTTAAGTAGCCATCCTGCGTCCAGTAGTAACGAGTGTGATGCTTACTCAAGTCACATGACATAACATGCACTAAAATACTAACTTTAGAATATAATATTTAGAACAAATCCTCATCATTACTAAAACAATTTAATCAAATATGATATTAAAGATGTGTTTAAATTGGTTAAATTAGTTAGAGACAAGTGACGTCAACCTCAACAATGGGCAGCAGGGGGCGTGAGAGTACCGCGGTACGCCACGAGAGTTTCGCGATACGTATCGTGGTTGGTGTATCGCGATATTTCGGTTCGGTTTTAATATCGTTACACCCCTACTTGGGACAGTAGACCGGATCATAAATGGCCCGATTGGGACAGTGCTGCCTTGTCACTAATATTTAATTTGTCTGTGACTATTTGTCAATTGCATGCATTTTAAGTTTGTTCTTTTAAATCTTTAAATGCTACCTTCTCTGTAATGTCATAAACAACATATTGCTTTCTGATTCGTCTTATCTGATTGATTTGACCATGCTATTTTTTTTTTGTAACTTGGTAACAACCAGTACAGCGTAGAAACAGCAACATGTTGGCTCAAATTAAAAGGCTAAACGAAAATGTCTCTCTAACGTGTTGGAAGTAGACATTTACATGGAAACAACACAACAAATTAATAATGAAGTGATGTTATGCATAGTTTGCCGTCAGTTTGACAAGTCAGCCACCTTTTTTTTTTAAATAATTTCAAACTGCAATAAAATGCCTCCACATTTTTCATACTGCTCTTTTTGTTTGCATAACACTTATATTTACAATTGTTTTTTAAGTATTGAAATTCTAGATTTACAGACTTTATTTTTGACACATTGTTTAAAATATGTGGTTAAAAATAGCTATTAACTTCCCTTTTTTTTGGTGGGGCCAGTGAAAATTTTGGCAGGGCAAGTAAAAATCTAAACCACTTGCCCGATCGGACCAGTAGAAAAAATCCTTAGCGTTGAACCCTGTAATATGAATTTTACTAAGAGAATAGCTGTGCTTTAAGCGCTTTAAGAATGCTGAAAAACAGCGTCGATTAGTTCTGCGCCGAGTCCACTAGATCCTTTCAGAGGTGCACCCAGCTCATCAGCTCCCCTAGAAACTATACCTGGATGATGGAGGCTTTCAACGGTGCTTCAGACTAAGCTAAGCCCAGTTTGATGAACTGCTGTCCGGTTTCTGCAAGAGCATTTCCTCTCGGGACTAGTGTTGTCACGATACTGGAATTTGATACCAATCGATACTTATATTTTAAACACGTCAATTTCCCATGAACATTTGAGCACTGTGAAGTACTTACACTTAATACTTTATCACCTGCGACTCGTTTGTATTCTGACCACTTGTGCTTAGTTGTATACTATATCAATAAAGTGTTTAGACTTTTAAAAACACTGTAGTAATACATTGAGCCACTAAGTTTTGTTCTTATGACGTTTTTCAACAGGAGGAAAACGCGAATTACCTCCAAACACTTCTGATATAGTCTGTGTTAGTTAATGTAAGACTATTGATGAAATCCAGCATAACACTGTATGACAACGCTTCAGATGACTGTTCTAGAGCCTACAGCTAATCAATTCGTCAGATTCTGGAGTGCATTACAGCTCTAAATATAAATATAAACGATAAATGATCTTAAACAAAACAAATACATGTATAGAGATGGTATATAAGTATATAACTTTACTCACATGGGAAACAGAGGCCACGTGAATGGTTTGTGAGCACAATTAAGTGCACTCAGCATGCCATGCCATCTAATAATTGTAGGAAACAAGTCCAAAAGGCAGTTGACTGTGTAAAGCCACATAAAACAACACAGAAATACGATAAATATGCCGAGTTCAGTGGCTAATCTGCAAGATTCAGCTGAGGTGACGTGACGGCGACCAGCGAGACCTAGCTGTCACTCAAGTGACCACGCCCTTAATTATGCAAACTTAATATAACTTAATATAAAGGAAACGGATGAGTTATAAAAAAAATTCACCCCCTCACAGTTGTCATAAAGGGTAATATTAGCTGTATTAACCAAAATCTTTTTTTGTACCAGGCTGTAAACACCTTTTTTTCTGCTGTAAATTTGGCCATTCTAACAGTGGGCTCAATTGAAATTTGCTCTATTTTGGAGCCAGGAGCAGCCAGGACCAGCGGAATTTCGGATGAATTGCAGTTTTAGTTACTTCCGTATTGGCTTCCTGAGGGAGAGCGGGAGGTTGCCGCTTGGTTGATATGCTATTGTGTTCACATGCTCAACAGAAATGACTGTGATTGGCCGTGAAGGTCATCAGTTTACCAAACGCACTGCTGTTTACTAAGAGTAACCACAGATACAGGGACACTGGAGTGTTTAAAAGCTGCAATTCATCAGAAGATGGCTTGTATATCAGCTTATAAACAAACCAGCTGATCGAAATGACTTTAAAACGCTCCAGTGTCTCTGTACCAATCACATTTATGTTGAGCAGGTGAACATTGCAAATCAGTGGTTTCAGAATGTGCTCAACAGCGCTGAAATGTTTGAAATGTTTGAAATTTCAGTACCAACTGGTATCGAATTCAAGTAGCGTGACAAGCCTACTCGGGACACGAATAACAAGTGCTACATCATAATCACTCCCTTACAAGACCAAGCTAATGATTGGTTAACCCGGCGCAAATATCCACTTAAGTTCAGATTTTCCAACTCGAGTGATTTGTGCAATACACATGTCAAAAAAAAAAAAGATCAACTTGCACCACTTCATTTGGGCAATAACACAACACAGGATGTCTATTCGCAACTTTGCATTAATTTAACATGTAAATCACTCGCACGTCTGGTGTAAACGCAGAATTTGATTAACATTCTCCCTTTGTACACATCATCAGAGGGGAAGCCCCGCCCATTATTGACAATTTCTCACTTATAGGCATAAACAACACGAGTGAGAAGCAGCAGTCTGCTATTAGAGTTTTGAATCTGCTGCTATGCTGACACATAGGTGTTTATAGCTCCACCTTATAGCTACCCATTTATAGTTTATAGCTACACCAAAAAAGCATGATTTGGATCAAAGACTGTAAGGGGCAGTTTTAAAGAGTTATAAAAAAAAAACTATTTCTGTGTTTTTTAAGCTGAAACTTCACAAACACACTCCAGGGACATCACAGATTTATTTTACATCCTGTAAAAATGAGGCATGATAGGTCCCATTTGAAAGAATACCAGCCACTGCTGAATAGGTAGAAAAGAAAAACATATGATGTACTTACCAACTTTATTGCAACGTACTCATTGGTATAGAGATTTTTTCCTACAAAGGTAAAACAGAAACAGGGTTTTAATATAGATGTACCAATATTGAACAAGATGTTTATATTACTCCTGATAGAAAAAAAAGTAACTCTCTTTGACACTGGATCCTTTATTTAAAAGACCAAAATGTTTATTCAGAAAGGAAGTATGTTTCATTATGAATGGCCAACAACAGAGAATCATAACAATCAAACACCACCGTCGGATTTGACAGGAACTATTTTAGTTGAAAAAATTTGATAAATGAATGGAGCAATGTTTAGAACTTCAGATGTGGCGCGATGCGGTTGTGCTTCTTGTCTGGTGTGAGAAATACAGTGAGTCTTTCAGCAAGAGAATACATCTGTAACATTTCAGCTACTCGACCCTCCATTACTCATGTTGCTCACTTGGTGTTGTTGTGCTGGATTTGTTTTCTCGTGCTTCAACTGCGTGGATAGGAAGCACATCAATGAAGGTGGAGTTCTAGAACACTCCCACTATTGTGTAACCGTCACAGACCAATAATAGCTTAAAGGACCAAAACGAACTCCCCTTTAAAAGTTCACTTTAGTGAGCCATTTTGAACTGTTGAAACAAACTCCAAAGTATCTTAGTTTTGACTGAATTTTGTCCGGAATTACATCATATCAGTTCAGTAGCGTCATAAAAAAATGCTACTATAATTAATGCACATATGACACTTCATGCCGGCCGCATATCCGATCTAGACTTTACCCAATGGGTCCTGCAATCAGCATTTTTCAAAATATCTTCTGTTGAACAGAAGAAAGAAACTCAAATGTGCTTTTAAACGAGTCAAGAGTGAGTAATTAGCAGATTTTTGGGGGAGTGAACTATCTTTAAATTCCTTTAAAGGAAGGAAAAAAATATTTTCTTTTATTTAATAATCTGCTATGTTGAATTCTATTTAATAAATTACAGATTTTTAGCAAATTTGTAACCCATGAATGAAAATGTAAAACAATGTTGTCATTTTAAGATCTTTTGAAAGCCAACGACTGCATGATGATTATATTTCACTCATAGAGGAAACATTAATACAACTCTGAGCTTCTCTTTACAAGGTTCTTCAATCAATAATACACAAGTTGCCCTGGTAATGTTGAAACTGTTGTTTCACTTCATAGAGAACAATGGTGTTGATTCAATATAACAAACAATACAGACAGCATTAACGGGAAATCACCTTCCACTTTAAAATGATGCTACAATAAAGATACCGCTTCCATCTTCTGAAAAATGACAGCAAGTTGTTTTTGCACCCTGTGTTTGTGAATTTTACCATGTAAGATTTTCTTTCTTTTTTATTTGCGCATTAGACTTTTGTTTGAGCATTAACTTCGAATCAGTTCAACTCAACTAGGGTCATGATTCTGGGGAACAAATCTGTTTGCTCAACTAACAAATTGAGGAGGAGTGTTTCAAGAAACATCTTTGAAAATATTTTTTTTGCAATTTAATTCGGTACTGCTAGTTAGGGTTGGGTACTGAAAACCGAATACCTACACTCACCGGCCACTTTATTAGGTACACCTTACTAGTACCGGGTTGAACCCACTTTTGCCTTCAGAACTGCCTTAATCCTTTGTGGCATAGATTCAACAAGGTACTGGAAATATTCCTTAGATATTTTGGCCCATATTGACATGATATCATCACGCAGTTGCTGCAGATTTTTCAGCTGCAAATCCATGATAGGAATCTCCCGTTCCACCAGATCCCAAAGGTGCACTATTGGATGGAGATCTGTGACTGTGGTGGCCTTTTGAGTACAGTGAACTCATTGTCATGTTCAGGTAACCAGGCTGAGTTGATTCAAGCTCTGACATGGCGCGCTATCCTGCTGAAGGTAGCCATCAGAAGATGGCTACACTGTGATTGTAAAGGGATGAGCTATGATGGAAGGAAGGCTGTGATGTTAACATAATATTTAATTGGTATTAATGGGCCCAAAGTGTACCAAGTAAATATCCCCCACACCATTACACCACAGGCCTGAATTGTTGATGCAAGGCAGAATGGATTCATGCTTTCATGTTGTTGATGCCAAATTTTGACCATACCATCAGAATGTTGCAGCAAAAACAAAAACGAGGCTCATTAGACCAGAATGTTTTCCAATCTTCTTTTGTCCAATTTTGGCGAGTCTGTGTGAATTGTAGCCTCAGGAGTGGCACCTGGTGTGGTCTTCTGCTGCTGTAGCCCATCTGCTTCAAGGTTGGATGTGTTGTGCGTTCAGAGATGCTCTTCTGCATACCTCGGTTGCAACGAGTGGTTATTTAAGTTACTGTTGCTTTTCTATCAGTTGGAACCAGTCTGGCCATTCTCCTTTGACCTCTGGTATCAACAAGGCATTTGCTCCCACAGATCTGCCGCGCACTGGATATTTTCTTTTTCAGACCATTCCCTGTAAACCCTAGAGATGGTTGTGCATGAAAATCCCAGTAGATCAGTAGATCCTGAAATACTCAGACCAGTCCGTCTACCACCAACAACCACGCCAAGTTCAAAGTCATTTAAATCACCTTTCTTCAACATTCTCATAGTCGGTTTGAACTGCAGCAGATCGTCTCAACTATGTCTACATGCCTAAATGCATTGAGCTGCTGCCATGTGATTGGCTAATTAGAAATTTGCATTAAACAGCAGTTGGACAGATGTACCTAAAAAAGTGGCCGGTGAGTTTTTATTATGCACTGGATGACTTTACAAATCTTGTATATAATAAATACCATTAAATATTACAATTATAATAATATCAAGAACAATTTTTTTTTTAAGTATCGCTTTTGGCACTGGTACCATTTTAAAAGTATCAATTCAGCACTGGTAAGAAATAACAAAAAACAATCAATCCTCAACCCTACCACTAGTAGAACACAAATTACACACTTAAGTTTTATAAATGTTCACATGGCTTAGGTCAAAAAAAAGTAAACAACCTGATAAAGACCTTGCAGGTCGAAACGTCTTATTAAATGGTCTTTTGAGAGCTTAAGTGGCACCGTGCCGATTCTATTTACTTTTTCTATTGTGTTTGGCTTCATCAAGCACCTGCTTTAAAAGTTTTTCTTTAAAGGGGCACAATGACATTTTTTTAGGTCAATGTTTCCCAAACGACTCACTAATGATGGTGACCAAGGAACTCCAGAGCTCCTGAGATCAATTCTCATCTTGCACACTCCAAAAAAATTTCAATCTACCCATTTAAAATGAGCACAATTCTTGAGGTTTTTTTCTTTGGGAGGGCAACAACTGTTTAATGTTCGACTGCATAAATTTGTAAAAACAATTAGGTCAACTTAATTTGTGTTAGGACAACATGAAAAAATTGTGTGGAACCCAGCATTTTCTATACTGCACTATTAAAAAAAGAACGCACCCCAGGTTGCTCCGTGGGCCATTTTTTGCACATTTATGAAACTAATTGCTTCTCTTACCGAGCTTCAGCTCTCCAAAGTTGCCACAGCCGATCTTCTTGCCAACTCTGAAATTTGGCCCCACCATGAGGACCCCAGAGGACGCAGAGGAGCTTGAGGGCCGCGAGTGCCCGCTGCGCCCCTGGGGCACTTTACTGCTCCTCACCGGCCTATCGGCCTCCTTCTCTCTGGGGTGATCCATGACTGCGGCGCCGGAGGCACAGATATCCAGATGAACTAGGCCGGAGCCCAAAGCAGACAGCTCAGGCCAAAGGAAAACTCATGGGACGACGGCTGTTGGCACCACTGCCGCTGAACCAGTCACTGCCGCCAGCACACTGAGGAGAGGAAAACAATCAAACTTAGTATGTCTGAGCATCATTAAACCTCTGAAATCATCATTTCAAGAACATCAAAATATCTTTTTGGAAATAATCAAATTTTATTGATTTAATCTTTCAAATAATCAAATTAATTTGTAGACTGGTTGGGGGATTTTGTAAAAACAAAAGAGCAAAAATTATATTACCAGTATTTTTTGGTTTTTTGAAAGTCTACCAGTATTCAGGTACGCAATGTTAATAACCAAATGTAAAATACCACTGTATAGTCTTCGTTGTATATATAAGCAATATCACACGAGCAGCAGCACGATATGGCTGTATATCGGCACTGGTGGGAGGCGTTACTTAGTGTCCCACCAGTGACGATATATAGCCATATCACACTGCTACGAGAAAAAAGTTCAACGGCATAAGTGTACAAAAAAAAAAAAGGTCTAAAAACCCTTTCACATGAGTAACTACATTATTTCGCCATTCATTCACATCTGCAGCTGACGTCAGAACAGCAGAAGGCGTTACTAATTCACCAACAACACTTTAGAGTTGTGAGCTAATGTTTAAAGCGATGACAAAACAGGTGCTCACATTTTAATATTATAAGGCTGAACGGCATGAAATGTCATCAGTCTACAGAGATTTCCCAGTATTTCTCTTGCAATCGGGAGATCACAATAATTAACCCTGAAAAAGCCAAAGCAGCGCAAACACTACCAGATTACTGTTGTGTTTGCGATAAGGAAAAACACTAAACACATGCGAGCATTTCTTCTTTCTTTTTGCTGAATAGTCTGCAGTAAGGGAAGCAAGAAATGCATTGGAAACAAACAGATGGCCAACCAAAAAGTAACTTAGGGTTATAAAAAGAGTGGACAACACAAATTGCATACATTCCTGATATGTGGAGTCCCATCTCACACTCAATACACAACAATTAATATGGTATATACAACACTGCAACATAAAATAGTGAGAGATAATTTTTTTTATATTGTTTTATCAGCTGTAGTTTGAAATTACGAGTTTTTCTCTGTCGCCATCTTGTGGATGGACAACATCAACGGTCTTTGATCTGCTTGATGACAGGCTAAAAGCCGCTGACGTGCTGTCTCTCAAATATACTAAATGTTTAAAATAATTTATAATGCACTGTCATTATAAATAAACTGCATAGTTGCAATCTAAACATCTACATTCTCACCTAAAAAAACCCAAAAGTATATTGTTTTGTCCAACAGCTGCAATATTTGTCAAACTGTAGTGAGTTTATTGATTGCTGTAGGGTTGGGCCGATATACGATGCCATCGTCCATTGCCGATGGCCAATAGACAACACGATGTTGAGCCGGCATCGCCGATCCTCCGCCCCACCCCCATCTAAACTCGCTCGCGAAAAATACACACTTCACATATCCCACATCTTAGTATTAAAATGGCATTTTAGAGCGAAGATGATCCACATCCACACAGTATTCTACCTAGCATTTCTGAACAGCCCACCGTCCACTGAAAACGCACATCACGTGACCAAACAAAGGGCTCGAAATTTACCTTTTTGCTTGGTAGCACTGGTGCTCCTAACTTTAAAAATTTAGGCGCATAAGCCAAAATTTAGTCGCACCCACCAATTATGAGCACCGTTACTACAAGTGTTATACAAACATATTTATTGTATTTGAAAAAAAAAAAAAAATGTGTATATATATATATATATATATATATATATATATATATATATATGCAAGCGTGAGGAAAATATGTCTCAACGAAATCCCGTTATTACAAGAAAATATATTTTTATAACATAACTGAGTGACCAAAGCATACACGGAGCGCTCACCGGCCCTGCACGCACTGCTGGACATGAATCTGTTAACGGTATAACTGTGCTGTTCTCACAAGTGCTGTCTGATATTGCACTGATGCTTTAGACACATACTGTACCTTATTATATGCATACATGTTAATACCAATACCGTTTTTTTTAGGAGTAGCAATATTAGTTTACTCAGTGCAAGCCCGTTTGCGATGGTGTACGTGGTGTTAAATTTGACATATAGCTGCCACTTGCACGGCAGACAGCATCTGGCGATTATATGAAAGATTAAACAGAAGCTCTCGTGCTAGATGTGGCAAACAGTTACCTAAAAACTCCATCACACAGACTTTTCATAGCGAACTTGAAGCCAATTCAAGTCTTCTACTCTTGGAAAAGTGTAGATGGTGGATTTACACTCAGCACATGGTCACTAGTAAGATGTGTCATCATTTATAACTTTAGATGCCATGGTTTCTAAAAAAAATCTGTCAGTGTTATCTTCATTCTCATCTTCAGCGCTTTACAATTTTTCGCGGTAGTAGCTCTCTCTGTCATCCGAAGCCAGAAGGTGCTGACTGAGTGATTGACAACTTATATTAACCAATCATTCGCGTTCAGTGCTAGAGCAGTGGTGGGCCAATAAGAAGAGCGCGAAGGCAGGGCAAGCATTACAGACTTGGATTTGTTTACTGCAGCAAGTTGACATGACAACTGTTTTAAACCATTCCTGAGCGATGCGTTTCGCGTTTAAAGTGCAGACAAAGAGCTTAGAGATGCATTCTAAGGGAATGTCTCCTCGATCCGCGCATGTGGTGAACATTTTGCAGTAAAAACTGGTGGCACACAACAATTTTAAAGAGCCCATATTATGGGTTTTTGAAAATTCCCCTCCATGTAGTGTGTAACACAGCTCTAAGTGAAGCGAAGTATCCAGCTAAGGCTTAAATCTGTAAGAATACAGTGTTTAAAACTGTTGATTCATCTATAAAAGAGTCGACTCATAGTGCTTCAAACGAGTCGCCTTGATACCGACTCATTAGGTGTTTCGCCATGACGTACGAACGAAACCAAGTTATTCACGTGCACGCGCAAACCCGGGAGATTTCAAACCTGAGGCCCCGCCCTCTGACGCAGAAACCCAGACACACACCCACAAACACACGCACACCCACAAACACACGCACACAAACATGCCGGTCGATTGAAGTCACACTGCAGATGGATATATTGAGTCTCTACCCAAAGATGAAACCTCAGCATTATAACCAAGCAGTTGGAAACTTCTGGAAGCTACATGCTACAAAGAATACTTCATCTGAGTTTGTTAAAGGAAGGATCAGTAAAGAGTAACTGATGGACGTCAGGATGGGTTTCTTCCATTTCTCAAGTGTAAGTACGTGCGGTTAAAGTTGTTGCCTCGTTTACTCTTGCTTGCAAATGTATTTAGTTGTGATTTGTTACTTGTAACCGCGTGTACTGTATCAGGTTAACTGGATATTTGATCTTATCGCGTGCAAAGTCACGTTAAAAACGCGACGCGTGCTGTTTGTTTATGGAGCTCCGTGCTAGAGTTCTGCTCCCGCGATTTATTCGGAAATTTATTCCCGCGCCGCAGAAATCTGGCGCGGGGACAGCCGCGGGAATAAATTTCCGAATAAATCGCGGGAGCGGTCGGTAACGGGTTTAATTTGGGACGGGAGCGGGCTGTCTAGCAATATCACGGATATTGCTATGCGAATTAGAAAGAGAGAGTCTGCGTGGTGCTTGTGTGTGTGTTAGTGCGCACGCGCGCGTATGAGAGAGAGAGAGAGAGAGAGAGAGAGAGAGAGAGAGAGAGAGAGAGAGAGAGAGAGAGAGAGAGAGAGAGAGAGAGAGAGAGAGAGAGAGAGAGAGAGAGAGAGAGAGAGAGAGAGAGAGAGAGAGAGAGAGAGAGAGAGAGAGAGAGAGAGCGAACGAACGAACGACAGCTTGGCTGTCTGGACTGTATACTGGGTGATTTTTGGTTGTGTTCTCCGCTCTAGCGGGACCGGGCGCGGCGGGCAGAAAACGGAGCGGGTTCTCAGGCTAAAACCTGGCGGGTGCGGGCGGAAGCAGGAGCGTTGTCATCCGGAGGTGTGTGTGTGTTTTTGTGTGTGTGTGGTATGGCCAGTACACGACTGTCTCCTTCGTTCGGTTATCCGTGGCACTATCCACTCGCCATAGTGTGGCAGCTAAAATCCACGTCTATACTATCGAGCGTGTATGAACTGTGATTACTTTTTAAATTGCTGATTAGCTATTGGCCATTTCCCTCTCTGACTGAAGGCAGTCGACCAATCGCGACAGACTGTCATCGGTCCAATCAGCGCAGATTAGCTCCGCGCTAAGGAGGGGTTTGGGAACAAATGAATCACTGGACGATTCATACAGGAGTCGCTGGGATAATTAGGTAAAAATAAATGCAGATTATAAGACCATGAAAGTGTTTTTTGACCTTGCATGCATATTAGACTGTTGTTGGAGACCCTTACAACCAGGATATGACCCTATTTCATGTATAATATGGGCTCTTTAAGCACTCGCAGAAATGCTCCCAATATTTTTAAGGTCGCATAGATACAATTTCGGGCGCATATGCGACCAAAATTGTCACAATTTCGAGCCCTGAAACACACACACAGACACACATTCAGATATCCCAAGTCTCCCGGAAGTTCTGGGAGTCTCTATGAATTTGCGGATCTCATAATGAGTGATAATCTCCCGGAAATCGTGGGTCTCCCTCCCGGTCCTCAAATAAGTCACGCACCCTTCTCACCCCCGGATCCCTCCCCGCTCTTCAGACACATTGCGCGCAGTCTTTCTACCTATTATAGTTTATTAAAATATTAATGACAACAGAACAGGAGTTGCTCTACAAATATATTTTTATTATGGCAAGAATAAAAACAAAAAAAGAAAACTTAGTTAAAAATACAGACGTTATTTTAAATTTAGCCTGTTCCACAATTCACACATTACTGTCTGGCGAGTTAATGTTCTCTTCTTATGCTAAACAGGCAATAATGGCCCTGACCATTATCACCAACACAGTCTAGAGAAACAGGCCATCATTATACTGTAAACTGATCAAATATTCCTTTCCAGTTATCAAAGAAATAATTTGTTCCTTCATTATTATTTTGTAACTATTAAACCG